AACAAAAACAATGTTCTTAGAACATAAACCCGAAGTGTTCAAACGAGACAGTCCCAGCCAGAAATGTTCTAAAGAACCTTTCGTGCAGACCACAGGAGGTTCTTAGAACATTGTTGAGTAGGCCTATCAGCACGCCAGGACGCTTCGACACTGCTTGACTTCCCCCGCTGCGCGGATGCACAAGAAGATGTGCTTGTGGCGGGGGTCCGTGAGGACGAGGTCCACCGCCTGCTGGCGCGCCGCGGGCCGTTGACTTTCCCTGCGCGGGGAGCGCGCCGCCTCTCGCACCCGTCCCGCCGTGCTCGCCGGTGCGGCGGAGAGATGAACTAAATTTCGCAATTTTCGGCGGTGGACAAACCTCCCTTTAGTAAACCACCCTTTAGTGAAAACGGCCTGGGGTCGAAAACGACGGAGCTGGACCCGCAAAAATGACGGCCGCGACGCCCTCTCGCGAACCGAAAACGGCCAATTCGCAAATCGACGTGTCAGGGTAGGAGGTCTATCAACCTCCGATCAAAGGGAGGGGGCCACAACCCTCCCAGGCGAGCAGTTTAGTCGAAAGCTGGAGCACGTACGTGGCCAGATGGCGGGCTGCTTTTCGGTCCCAGGGCTGTCTTTGGGAGTCGTGAACGACGTCGGGGTGGTGTGGTGTATGCTCTTCCCCCCGCTTTCCCGGGGAATCAACGCAAAATTGTACACTAGGGTTCCGTATACACCAGGATCCGCTTCTCTGTGCGAATGTCAGTGCGGGGCTGGAAACAGCGTCGGTGTACAGAGATTGCCCACAGACCAGCCGCTAAAGAGCGGTCGTTTGCCCAGACCCCACTGGAACCCTCCAAGACAGCTCAGATCAGACCCAAAAAAATCAGACCACTCCCCCGAAGTCCTGAGCTCCCAGTGGAACGGCGAACAGAAACGGGTCTTACGAGAGAAAACGTACACTGCCGGACAAAAGTTGATGCGGTTTTTGGCGGCGAGCCCAGGGGGGGAAACGAGAGGAGGCAGGCATTCTCAGAAGGCGGCGGGACTTCCCCCTGGGGCTCGCCGCCGAATATACTGCCGTGGCAAAAATTTACGTGGTCTGGTATGATGCTGGACTCACACATCCCTCTACATATTCCCAACATGGGCACCCGGCTCCAGCGCTCCCGCGGAGTAATAACAGGTCCCCCATTAATCAATACCTCTGCTATGCTATCATCGAACGGGATCGGAAACTACTTGGGCCCAATCCATCATGAAAAATGAGGCGGGATGCATGTCCGCGCGGAGTAATTTCTACTCCGCCCACTCCGCCTACTCCGCCAGCCGTCAGTCGTCTTGCGCCCAGGCCAATTGCGTAGTAGTTCTAGTTCTGTCGCGGCGATGCAGCAACCTTGCGCCGAGGCATACGTGGGCCGCAAACATGGCACATCGCGTGGAGAAGAGGGCACTTACGCGCGACCGTCCGCGGGAAACTTCCGTGCAGATGGGGAAGCCGACTCCCCGGACCTCTCCCTGGGTGCGTTCTGACCAGAGTTCTGAGGCGAATCCAGGAGTGGCGACGAGGGCCTCTGAAGAGGCCCAAAATGGGGGAAAACGGACGAAGGGTAGCTGCATGGGTACCTTTTCCTCCTCCGAGCGCAGTCGACCTCATGTTCTTCCATCGCTCAGAGGTTGCCTGGCTGCGTTTCCGAGCTGGTATTCTCTGAGGCCTTGCCTTCCTGCCAACCTGTGCAGGTGTGCGCGTCTCACCCCGCCACGTGCCAAGAAAATCCCCCGGGGGCGCACCAACGCCTCCGAGGCAGACGCACCCGAGATGACTTCGATGACGACTCCCTGCACACACTGCACACTGCACACTGCGCCCCCACGTCACGTGGGACGATCCTACGAGGGGCGGGGCGGTGGTGCCTCGGCGCCGAAAAGCAAATAACAAATCTCACGCTGGGGAGGGGAAGGAGGAGGAGGAGGACGACGACGACGACACGCGAGGGAGAAGTCCCAGATGCCCACGGGGGCCTCGCAAGCTCCAACAGCGAGCCTGGACACACGGAATCGTCAGAAAGGAGCAAGTGACTGGTTCTTCCCTCACTAGGCTTGCCTGCTGGGGCCTCGTACTGGCTACTTAACCAGCTCCTTCAGTAGAAGTACCCCAGGCCAGGATCAGTCAGCATCGAATCGGAAGTCGAGTCGAAGGGAAATTTGCGCCGAATCGGATCTGCCGCGCCATGATGTACAACAGGCCATGCAATCATCCGGCCGCAGAGGATCGCCAAAATGTCGGAATCGAATAGGACCGGGCTGCGCTGGTCAGAATCGATATCGAATCGGATCGATCGGATCGAGATGGGCCCTACACTGGGTGTCCCTCCCGTGAGCCTCGAGTGCGTGCCAGCTCGCTTCCAGTGCAGCTCACGCCGCCAGCGCCGTCGCAAAGTAGACCACCCCGAGCGTGCCTGCCCACGCGTCTGGCGCGCATCGCGCTGCCGCCGCTGCCGGCGGGAAGCTCACTCCGAGGGTGCCGGCTTGGCTGCGGCACTCTTCGACGAGCGGACAGCACACACCCACACACTCCCATACGTCTAGGGGGGGCTGACCCGCGCCTCGCGATTGGAGGCTGCCAAGAGACTCTCTTCGATCGCGTTGGCTCGCTCTACGCGCACGTCGTGTTGCCAGCGCCGTTGCCAGCGCTGCTGTGACGGAGCGTGCCAGCTCGCTCCTGGCGCACATCGCGTTGCGAGCAGAGACGGCAGGAAACTCACCCAGAGCGCACCAGTTCGCCCCCAGCGTACATCGTGTTGTCAGCGCAGCCGGCAGGCAACCTGCCGCGGCCCTGCCTGGTCGTTCCTCGCCGAGAGCGCGGGCCCGCTCCCAGCGCACATTGCGCTGCCAGCGCTGCCGTCAGGAAGTTCATTCCGAGCGGGGCCAGGTTCCGCCCGCCGCATCGCGTCGCCAACGTGGCAAGACAGCTCACCCCGAGCTTGCCAGCTCACTTCCGAGACAAAGTCGCCCTGCCAGCGTTGCTGCCGGCGCTTCTGCCAGAGAGCTCACCCCCCGAGCTGGCTGGCTCGCTGCCAGCGCACGTCGCGTTGCCAGCGTTGTCGACCGAAGCTCCCTCCGAGCACGGACACATCTAATCGCATCCGGTGCCTTCGTGCATGTAACATATGACCGTGATGAGCTTCCTTCGGCGGTGGACAAACCTCCCTTTAATAAACCTCCCCCTCGTGAAAACGGCCTGGGGGTCGAAACCGACGGACCTGGACCCGCAAAAATGACGGCCGCGACGCCCTCTCACGAACCGAAAACGGCCAATTCCTTAATCGACGTGTCAGGGTAGGAGGTCTATCAACCTCCGATTCCTTCTGGGCCAATTACTTCCCAGTCGCTACGGCTCAAGATGGCATCTGGATGGTTCAAGACTGCCCCAAGACGGCCTCAGCGGGAGGACTCCAAGAGGCACCAAGATTGCCCGAAAGGACCACTGAAGGCCCTCCAGAGAGCTCAAAGACGCCCCAGGATGGCCTCAAAAAGAAGCCCGACGAGTAATTTCAAAACCCTCCCTCCGACCCTCTCGCGAACGCGAAAACGGGGGCGGGGACGAAGAGAGGCGGATGATCCCGCCTGTCACTCCCACACAGGTGGCACGCACGCATGAGCATACCATGCCAACTTTGCTGGTCGAGGTGAACCAGGGCATCACGTTCGTCCTCTGCCCCCTGCTCGTCCTTCACAGCTCCTGCCTCCCAGGGGGGAGCAGAACAAAGATGAGGAGTAGGAGGGGAAGGTAGGAGAAGAATGGAAGAGGAGGAGGAGGAGAAGCAAGAGGAAGGACTAGGGAGGAGTAGGGAGGGAGGAGGAGGAGGAGGAGGAGGAGGAGGAGGAGGAGGAGGAGAAGGAGGAGGAGGCGGAGAGGACGAGGAGGAACAGGAGAAGGAAGGAGTAGGAGAGAGAGAGAGAGAGGCGGCCACCCTCTCGCCATTGTTGAACGCGCCGACCATGGCGCGCATCAGGCCCTCCGGGCCGCCCCAGGGTCCCCGCGGGAGTAAGGGGGGAGGGGGGGAGGCGAGGGGAGGGGAGGGGAGGGGAGGGAGGGCAAGGGCGGGAGGACCAGGGAGCGATGCTGGTGGGAGGCGGAGGGGGCGGGGAGGGGACAAGGGAGGGGACCTCCGGGTTGGGGGACACGACAGCACCCCGATTCGAAGTTTTATTGCTGAAGATGATGGCAACGATGATGACGCTGCTTTGAGCCCTCGATGGAGCAGATGATGACGACGCCGATGGTGCTTGCTATCTCGGGCTCTCGGAGACGGGCGATGATGAGGATGAGTGGCATGAGGAAGGGGGCGGATGGGATCTCGACGATGGCGATGATGAGGATGAGTAAGAGTTACTCCTCCACATCATTATGGTTTCCCTCATCCTCCTCATCCGAATTCTCTTCATTACCCTCACCCCCTCACCCTGCCAAGTGCCCACCATATTCTCGTCATCATCCTCCCCCTCCTCCTCATCCTCTTTATCGTACGTTTCCTGCTGCTCCTCTTACCACTCCCCCTCTTCAATCTCCCCAGTATCCTCCTCGATATCAGATTCCCCCTTCTCCTACACCTCATCCGTATCCTCTGTCCACTCATCTGCTACATGGCGCAAGTCTCGGTGGGCATGTGGCGGTTTCGGCTCTACTCCGTGCTCGGTGCTTCTCCATTCCTCTTCCTCCTCATCATCCACCTCCTGCTCATCAGCAGCACCTCTCCGCCTCCTCATCCTGCTCCTCCCCTTGCTCCCATCAATCCTCTTCCTCGCCCTCCCCCTCCTATCACTCATGCTGCTCGCCCTCCTCATTGTCATATCTCTCACATAAGAGGCGGAGGAGGAGGGAGGAGATGGAGGGAGGAGAATGATGGGGTGAGAAAGAGTGAAGAGGAGTTGCCAGAGAAGCCGAAACACGAGGAGGACAATGAGGAGGTGTTTGAGGGGTCACTCCCCCTCCTCCTCCTCCTCCTCCTCCTCCTCCTCCTCCTCCTCCTCCTCCTCCTCATGATCCTCCTCTGTTCTTCTCCACCTCTCCCCCCTCCTCCTCCTCATATAGAAGAGAAAAAACGATGATGACGAGGGCGAGCAGGAAGAGTGATGATGAGGATGAGGACTGACAGGAGCAGCAGAATGAGAAAGCGCGACTACTGAACAATCCCGTCATCAGCAACCGCCTCGCTGTCCTCAGATCACTTCTCCTCTCCCTCCTCTTCCTTTTCATCGTATCACTCCCCCATCATCCTTCCAAGTGTGGGATATGAGGAGGAAAAAGAGATGGCTTATGTGGGGAAGAGGAGGAAGAGGAGGAGGAGGAGGAGGAGGAGGAGGGAGTAAGGAGATCATGGTGATTAGGAGGTGTACAAGTTACGCATCGCTAATAATACCGTTGTCCACATCACCATCATCCTCATCGTCCTCCTTCTCCTCATCAAACAAATTGTTTGCCGCAGTCTCGGCATCATCCTCACCCGCCCCACCTCACTATCTTCCTCCACCTCCTCATCTTCCTACACATCATCCACCTCCTGGGTCGACTCTCCTCTGCCTCATATCACTCTCCCTGCTATCACACCCCATCTTCCATAGGGGCGATGGGAGGATGATGAAGAGGAGGAGGACGAGTGAAAAAATGAGAAGGGCAACGAGGAAGAGAATGTTTAAAATGGCCAGGAGGATGGGAAAGGGCAGCTAATCGATGACACCATCCTCCTATCACTCCTCGTCCTCCTTTCGCCCCTCCTCATCCTCCTCCAGCGTTCCTGTCGCGCGCTTGGCATGAGGTGCAGGAGGAATGCGATGAGGAAAGAAATCGTAAAATGGATAGGAGCGGGAGGATGGTGATAAAGATGGGGAGGGTGAGGGGGAGAAGGAGAAGTAGAAGACAGAGAATGAGGTTGACGCTCGCCTTGCTGCCTCCTCCTCCTCCTGCTCTTCCTTCTCCTCCTCTTCCCACTTCGTTTCATCCATCCTCCTCCTTCCTCCTCCTGCTCCTCCTTCTAAAGGAATGCTAGTCAGGAGAAAGAAATGAAGTGATGAAGGCTGGAATCGTAGGAAAAACCATTCGATGGCAAAACAAACAACAAAAAACAAAACAAACAAAAAACACAAATCCAAGGGAAAGACGTCCGAAGGGAAACGTCCGAGGTGGGGCATTGGCTGTGAAGGCTTTGGCTGTTTTAGCTCTTGTTTGGCTTTTCCCATGGTTTTCCAAGGTTCCACCTTCCAGCACTTCAGTTTCTTTGGCTTGTTTGTGTTTTCCTTTGCCCGCTGCCGCCACGCCCCCTGTCCCACTTGACGGCCGGACGCGCCGTCCGCCGGCCCTCCCGCCAGTGCGTACGGCATCGCGGACCCAACTGAAGTACACCCAAGAAGCATTTTGCGCAGGGCCATCGCAGGACGCGTACACTGTTTCCCCTTGCCCGGCGCATCGCGTCTACTGACGCGGTCTGCCTGGCTGACGCTCCGGCCCCCCAGACGCCGTCCCCGCCTCCCGCGGGCAGCTCAGGCTGCTCATCGCGGAAGTCTTCCGCCTCTGAGTGTTCGCCCTCCTCTCCCTCCCCGCGGCCGCCCTGCCCTTCCTTTTCCCTCCTCCTGCATGCCGGCCAATTCGCGTTGTAGTGCCCCTGCATCGCTGCCACGCTGGAGCGGATCGTCCCGCCTCGCTCGCTGCCGTCGGAACACGCTGCCCTTGTGTTGTTTGGTTTCCCACCGCCAACTTAAGAAATGTATGCCTACTGCGCCCACAAAGCGGAATCGGTAGTCCCCCCGCAGAAGATCGCAAAGACGGAGGAGGAGGAGGACGAGGAAGGGAAGTGGAGATGAGGGAAAGAACGGATGACTGAAACGGTTCATCCAAAATCAAAAAAAAAAAATGCGGGGTGAAGGCAGGGAGGGAAGGGAAAGGGAGGGAAAGAGACGGGAAGGGAGGAACGAGTGGGGGAGGGGGAGGCAAGGAAGAGGGAGGGGAGGGAGGGACGAAGATGGAGGGGAGGGGAGGGGAGGGGAGGGGAAGGAGGGGGAGGCAAGCTAAATGCGCTCGAGCAATATATGGCCCCTCCCTCCCATCCTTCACCATGGCGTAGATATCCTCTCAATGCGCTCGGAAGTTGCAGCATGGTATAGCATTCCATGGCATAGCATGGTGTTGGAGATCAACGCGCTGCAAGACACAGCATGGCCTGGCGACGCCCCAAAGTGGGGGGGGGTTCTGCGGCCAATAAATCAACGAATCGACACCGAACGTGGAATTATCTCCGATGGTTTTTCGGGGGGGGGGCATTTTCTAGATGTTGGGACGTATTTGGAAGGACCGAACAACCATGCCGTGGCACGGCACTGGAAATAAGCCTTCTTTTTTTTACGAGCGCGCGGGACAGCTGTCAATTCTTGTCGCCACGAAACCCCAGGGAGCCTGGGGGCACAGTGACGGGGACTTTTTTCCTCACAGGCGGTGCGGCCAGCTGTATTGTCGCAAGCGTTGCGTTCCAGCGTCCATTGAGGAAGCTGCTCAAACAACTCACAGAATTCTGAAGCGAAGATCAGCTCCACGAGGAGAAAGACAGCACAGTGCAAATGGAGGCGGGTGGGAGACACACACGCTACGAAAGCAGGCTGAAGCGAGACGCGCACGCACTAGTAGCCTCTGCCTTACGAGCGTGCGAGACAACTGTCAGCTCTTGTCGCCACGGAAACCCAGGGAGCCTCGGGGCACAGTGACGGGGACATCTTTTCTCACGGGCGGCGCGGCCAGCTGCATTGTCTCAAGCGTTGTGTTCCAGCGTCCATTGAGGAAGCTGCTCTAACAACTCACAGACTTCTGAAGCGACGCTCCGCCCCACGCGTGCAAACAATTCTAACTTGAAGGGGAAGGGGTGGTAGTGTGACCTTCTTCCTGGTCAAAACTACACACTCGTTTAAAGCGCAGCAGCAAAAAATGTAGACTCGACGCCTGCGATACCATTGACAGAGGCACCGGCCAGGGCTCTGGAAAACCGCTTTGGATAATCCTCGGAAGCTCGAGCCCTAAAGATTCCATTCTCGTCTTTGCCCGCTACAGAGACATGTTGTTGCTTCGTTCTGGCACACCTCCCGTTGGAGAGCTTGCACCTACGGCCAAGAGACTCTAAAGGCAAAGAGCTAGCAACGAAACGAGTGGGCCTCATCCTGGGCACTCCCCATGCACACAAATCAGTTCGCATTTCACGCGTTGTTTCGCGCCTTCGCAAGTCAACAATTCGAGGGGGGCCTCCCGAAGAAAAGATAAGCACGGGTTTTCGATGCAAAACGTGACCACATGGAGCGACGACACCTGCGCGATACTCACGGTGCTTTTCATTGTTTTGCTGCCGAGCTCAATCTTCCAGCGCCCTCCTTCGCTCCGCAGATCCCGAAGTGGCCGCGGACCGCTGGGTCTAGCACGAGCCCGCGACCAAGACGCACAGGGGGCCCCAAAGTGCACACCCAGGACGCGCCCAGACATCACCCAGCCTCTGATGCATATCACTAAGGTTCGCTTACACACATCGCGCGTGACTCGACTGTCGACGGCACCTGCAAAATAGCCCACTCGCGACATCTCTCGCGACTGTCTAGCTGTTCCTGAAAAGACCTCGAGAAAGAAGGCACCATCAACCCACGCGTAGGCCTGCCAGCGCCTGCAGCGGCGCGGCAGCATTCAACGGGATCCTCGGCACAGTTCCCAAACACCTGGCGGCCAATTCCCTCACTAGCAAAGAACACCGACATAGGAACTCGTTGGTACGGCCACCTTTCTGATATCGGCGGATGCTGCTGTCGGACGACCATCGCCCCTGGTGCTTGATCTCGGCGCTGGTTCGCCGCCCTGCCAGGAAGTCCGCACTCGGGCCCGAGTGCCGCAATCGGTACATCATTGACTCCCTGATCGCTTCCTCCAGGCAGTCGCGCACGATGTTCGTCGCACTCTCCTCCAGCGCCACAACCCCAACGCCGGCGAGGCACT